CCAAATTAAACAGTTGCATGAACCTCGTCCCACAAACTGGTTTCCGCATTGCGATTTCATGGATTGTGTGGACTTTCTTTATATCTTGCAAACCATGTTAAATTATAAATCAACTATACGCCCATTGGTATTTACATATTCTATAAACGGTGCTGGAGACATTCCACGTGTTTCCGCTCGGGCATTGAAGTTTCAAACAATTCTACCCCTGTTAAAATGTATTTTACACTGCGTACAACACTGGTTATATGTGTTCATTGGTCACGTATGTGTGTGTAGGCGGTGTCCTTACCGTAATCCGCATATCTCCCCCACTAAACCGGTCTACCACCGTGAAGTAGTGGAAAATAAAAATAAAAAGTAACTAAAGCAGCAGTCACGAGGCGAACATCCACCACGTGTGCCTTTAAATTAAAAATAGACGTTTTATTCATTGAGGTTTCACTTGTAGATATTCGATGTTGTTATCTTGAATCTAGGTTGCGATGCCACTGACTCCCATGAAGTATAGGCTTAACTCCATGCCCTAAACATATCCTGCAGATTAAAGTAAGTTTTAGTGGTTCCCCTCCAGTGTAACTCGCCTCAAAAAACGTCAAGCCTAACGCCCATAGGAATGAGCCTAAAGTGTAATTTTTTTGTCGGCTAAGGCATCTCCCCCGTATCACCAGCACCCTGCGGACTGCTGAAAGAAACCTCCCCCGTGCTTGAGGTCTCTCTCTCGGCCACTCGGTCTCGTCTCCTCCCCTCCAGTCCCGTCCAACAACCAGGCGCAGGAGAGGGAATAAGTGCCCTGTGGCATCTGGTGCAACACAAATCTGCATAACAAAGAGTCCCTGGTCTTAATTGGAAATACTCAAATATGTATATATACACAAGGTTATTTTCATTCAGTAATTATTACAATATTATATTATTGTTTCACGTTATTTAAGATGGCCCTCAATTCAGACCTTGGAATAAACGGAGAGCTCCAATTTAAAAACCATGGCGTCATCGCGGGTCACTTATCACGTCTGCAGCCCCGATGTGTGAGAGACTTCAGATGTTTTGAAAAATGTAACCTCATGCAGACAGTAATTCAAGTATTTATTATTAATTATTTTTTTCAATGAAAAGTTCAGTTTGGTCATATTTTCTAAAGTTTGTCAAGTTCTAAGAATTATATATGTACATATGTATTATATATACATGTGTAATAATAATAATAATTATTAGCATTAGTATTATACATTTGTTTTTATGGATATCAACATGAAGAATGTCTTGACTATTGCTGTTTGCTCTAGATTTTCAAGCCCTTGTGTCACGCAAATTAACCGTGCGTGTGTAAGGGGGGGAGGGGCACGTAGACAGTAATTCATATTTTTTTAAATAATTTTTAAGTTTTAAAGCCTGTACGGTTTATCATCAACAACACCGGTCAATAGAGATCTATGTGGCAATCCCTGTGAAAAATGTGTAATGTGAAACTGTTGCTGATTGATCCACGTCACACGAGCCTACCAAACGTCAAACAGTGGTCTACAATTGCTATGCAATCGCATTATTTGGTGATACATGATGTATTTATGTTATAGGATAATTATATTCATGAAAAGCGGGCGTGAAAGGTCAGTTTGGAAGACAATATCGATTAGTTTACTTTGTTTTAAGTCGTAAGAGAGAGCCGTTTGCCATATGATCCTTTAAAAAAAAAACAAGCGTGTATTTTGTCAAACAAGAAAGAAGCCAGGTTACGAAAAAGGGGAAGACATGCAGTGGAAATGACGTGGGATGGAAGAAGCCAGGACTGTCTGTTCCTCCCTGCATCTCCCCGGCACGGAGCACCGTGGCTCTGGGATCTGAGTTGTTCCCCCCGGGGATCCGGACCTCAACAAGCTGCCCCTCCTCTCACTTCACTCTGCTGCATCCATGAAACTCCGTATTCCCCGTGTATTAACGCTGTCATGGGCCTCCAGAAGCAGCACGTGGAAAGCGAGTATGCAGGTCAGATGATCTATGGGTGTTTGGGAGGTGAACTGGGGTTTATTGATTGGTGAAGTAAATGGGCAGCGTTTAATACATATATTCACTGATAGTTGCACAGAGGCGCACAAACACACACCCACACAAACACACACACACACACACACACACACACACACACACACACACACACACACACACACACACACACACCGTGATCTCGTATGTGTTTCAACTGCAACCCTGAGCCTAACCCGTAATGACCACAAGTAACTTATGCGGTGCATAACAGCTTCCTGCAGTTTATCTTGTAGAATATAAAAGGGGAAAACTCTCTTCACTAGAGGCTATAATTATAACTTTTAATTATCTCCACAACTCAATTCTAATTTAAAGTTCAATGTAATGTAATCCGTTACATTAGATAAAGAAAGAGAAAATATATTTTGTCCAGTAAAGCATAGTCCCTAGGCTGTCATTTCAAGGTGTAACACCATGACCTTAACGATCCAAATGGCACGCTTGTGTGTTATGGCTACAGGTAACGATATACCTGTGGACATAGTGTGTGTATATCAATACACACACACACACACACACACACACACACCATTTCCTCGTCGCATTTGGTATGCACGATCTTCGTCTGTAAATCCATGACCACCACGTTAGTGATTCTGCTCTATATACAGTCCAAAATTGCGTGAATTTTGTGGACGCGGTCCAATCACATTGGGAGGTTTAACAAGGAGCTATAATAGCAACGCCTACATATATAACACGCTGTTTGATGTAACACCGAGGTAACAGCGATGTTATTCAGCATACAGGGAATGGTCTGTAAATAAGCAAATAGGCTTAACATTGTGGAAATGGAGCATGTTCAGTCTTGAGTTTGGCCCCAGCGCTGCCCGCGTGAGGACCAGGCCACAAGGGATTCACGTGTTTTATAGATAACAAAGACGGAACATAACGCAGGGAGCTTTGAGAAAATATCGCTTAGGGGCAAACACAATAACCGGTCCAAACAGCCTTCTGAAGGCCTACCGGTAATTCAAACAATTAGCCTGTATAATATAGCCTACTACGCAGTCTCATTATTTGGACAGCGTTGTGGGTGGTGGCTTCAGTCTGTATACGTTTCCTCTGCGCATCTGTCTGTGTGTGTGTGTGTGTGTGTGATTTGATAAGGAGCGCGCGTGCGTCTTTCTGATTGTGCGTCTTTCTCCGTACGCGTGTGTGTGTGTGTGCGTGCGTATATGCTTGTGCGCGTGTTCCGTGAAAAATCATTGCGGTGGGTGTGCGTGGTATTTTTGGGGTGCACATGCATTATGCACGTGTGCATAGACAAAATGTGAAAATACGAAGTTGTATGCATGACACGCGCCCCAAAATGAGATATTAAATAGGGTGATACGTTTTGTACATTAATATCACAATAGCCTCTGTTCCTGTCCCCCCTTTAAAAAAATGCTACTTGTTGATTATAAATATTATTAACAGACCTATGCATGTTATATATCAAATATATTTCGTAATTGTTGCTCCAAGGTGTGTCGTTACAAAAGAAAAAGCGGAGATCCAAATTGGATTGTTTATTGGCTACAGCTTTAACCTACATTGTCTAGAAAATCTTGTGGGAATAGCAACCCTGACTCTGCACTTTTAGCCTGTACAATCACTGTTCACGTTGTGGATGAACAGTAGGCTGCAATTTAACAGGGTTATAAGTAATATAATAAATATTATTTCTACTGTTTTACGCTTATGCACATTTTTGTATATCCATAACAATTGCCTGCGCAAATACACAATATATTAACAGTGCTACACCCTGCACAACAGCACATTTCAAATCACACACACACACACACACACACACACACACACACACACACACACACACTGTAACGGAAAAAGGTATTAAAAAACGTTGGAAATGCCGATGACGTAATTAAGGTATAGTCATACAAATGAATATATGCCTACGAAGTACGAAGCATAAGTAGGTCAGTCTATAGGCAACCGGCGAGGAAAAAAATCATGTGGACGAAAAGACAGAGCCAACAGAAGCAGATGAGTTGAGCCTTGGTCGGGGGAGCAGCTAAACGTGGAAAAGCAGCCATGCTAGTGCAAAAAGCAAATGTCTTTGTTTAAGCTGCGCTGCGTTAACACACACATCAAACTGCCTTAAATACCAGGAGTGTGCAGTCATTTTATCAGCGTAATCGATTGCATACACCGCCTGCATGCATTTAGATGTGGACCAAAAGGGAATAGCACAATACATTCCGGTTTTATCGTGACACGTTTGCAGGCTCAGGTTCTGGTCCTGCACACTGAACTGGGGAGAATTTTTGAAATGTGAACTTGTCATGGCTGCGTTATTTACTCTTAACAGTGGAGTGTGTGTGTGTGTGTGTGTGTGTGTGTGTGTGTGTGTGTG